CTCGGCTTGTTCAAAGAAATTTATGATTGTACCATTCACTAGGACCGTTATAGAGCTGGTTGTGATACAATTCAGTAAGAGTTTGGAGAATTTAGGGGGGAAATTAAAGTATCTAAGAGTGCGATAGATGAAAGACCATTCCAAACAATCAAAAGCCTTTTCGAGATCAATTTTTAAGATCATATGACCTTGCTTTCCTTCAATCTCTTTAAATTGGAAACTAACTCCTGGATAATGATTGCATTATCTGAGGCTCTTCTATGCTTCATGAAACTAGTTTGGAATGGACTAATAATTTGTTCTAGGAAGGGTTTGAGACAGTTTGCAGGGATTTTAGTAACCGTTTTGCAGATTGTATTGCAAAGGCCAATGGGCCTAAAGTTCTTGATATTATTAGCATTGGAAGTTTTTGGAATTAGGCAAAGATAGGTTTTGTTCATGTCTTTTGGGATTTCTTGATTGTTAAAAATATTATGACAAAGGTTCTTGACAGATTGCCCTATAATATTCCAATACTTTTGGAAGAAAAAAGGGTGAAGGCCATCCAGCCCGGTGCTTTAAAAGGTTTAAAAGAAAAGACTGCCCTCGTAATTTCACTATCTAGTTGCAGATTGTCTAACTTAGTTAGATCTAATCTATAGTGACTAGGAGGGCTTGTTTCTATGCTATTCCAATTAGTAGATGAGTGAGAGGTGGTAAATATACTATTAAAATAGTTACAAAGGTGTAACATGATCAAGTGTTGATCATTAATCCATTTCCAACATCGTTCATAAAATAGGTGATTTTGTTTCTCCTTCTCCTATTTGATGCTGATATGTGGAAGAATCTTGTATTGGCATCTTCCTCATTAAGCCACATTGTCCTGGACCTCATTTTCTAGTAATCCTCCTCAATTTTAAGGATGTCATTGTAATCTTTTTTTTAGACTATCCTCTAGTGTATGAAGAAAGTCATTGTTTGGGTAATTTCTAGAGTTTTGAATCCCTTGGAGCCTTGCTAGAATTTTCTTTTTCTTCCCAAAAATATCTTCAAAATTCTTATCTTTCCAGGGTTTAATGCTATCCATGAAGTTTTTACTGGCACTATAGTAGTCTATTCCATTCCAATTTTTCCTAACAAGATTTTGGAAGTCACGGTGTCTACACCAAAAAGTTTCCATTCGGAAAGGTTGTTTGTGGTCTTGTCTATTTCTAGGGATTAATTCTACTAAAATAAGATTATGGTCAGAGTACGTTTTAGGAAGATGAATTACTGAGAAATTTGGAAATAATTCAAGTTATTCGTCATTTCCTAAAATTTTGTCTAGTCGTTTCATGATGAGCCCTTTTCTCCTCTTCCTATCATTTGACCACGTATATTTGCAGCCCTTATAGCCAATATCGATTAGGTTCCAATCGACTAATTTTTTACCAAAGAAATTACTTCCACCGAATTTTTCAGTTGATCCTATAATATCGTTAAAATCACCTCCTACCATCCACCGGCCTTTATAGTGTCTATAAGTATTTTCTAAGTTTTCCCACATAATATTCCTATTATAAATGTTAGTACTAGCATATATGGAAGAAAATAACCAAATTTTATGTATAGGAAGTACCTCAATTGTTGCATAAATTTCTTGGTTCCTACGGACGAAGTTATGAACAATAACCACTTCATGTTTCCACATTACCACCATACCTCCTGATTGTCCTTCTGCAGGTACTTCTATCATCTCCGAGAAACCAAAATCACTTAGCATTTGAGCATGGTTTACCATCCTTGTCTCTAGTAGTGTTACCATGTATGGCCTATGAGTGTCAACCATCTCCCTAAAATTCCTCCTAAAATCATCGTTGTTTCCTCCCCTTATGTTCCAGATACTAAAGTTAGTTGGATGATTCATGGTTAGGTTTAAATTCATGTTTTCTGGGTCCCCATTCTCCCTCATTCCCTCCAGAAAGACATGGCTCCTCCTTATCGAGGGGACTAGAATCATGGCTCGATTGCCCACCGTTGGATCTTGGGGTGGCCTGATATCCATTGAGCACTTGTACAGTGCCAGTGGGCAGTTGAGCACATGCCTCTTCTCTTGCATCTCCGTGAAGAGATAGACTTTTACCCCGTCTAGGTTTGAGAACTCCATAATCTGTTCCAAGCCTAGGTTGAGGGGTTCTCCTATTTCCTCCATGGCTGCCTCTTCTTGTTTTGGTTCCTGTACCACATGTGGTTGAGGTGGTGGTGGTTTTTGATTCATTGGTGGTGTTGGTTGCTCCTGGGCTTGTTGTGTGTTCTCCCATGGCATGAAGATAGGGTTCAATTGCGAGAGCATTTCTGGTGGGAAGAAGGACATGTCCGGGAGTAGATTCTGGGGTTGTATAGAGTTAAAGTGCGATGTCATGTTCCACTGGTTCCTCATTGCATGCACCAAGTATAGGTTCAGGGATGGTGCTAGTGGGTGTAAGATGTTGTTTAGCCATACTTGGTTTAAGTAATTGTTCATCGCGAGCCTCATCCCCTCGGTTATTAACTGTGCTAAGTAGTGCGTGTTTTGAAGGATGGCTATCGTTTCTTGACAATTGATTTGGAGGTTGAACGAGACTGCATGTCCCAGTAGCCCCATCTCCATCCATGAAAGAGGTTGATAATCCTGAGCAGGTGGTGGTTGGACGTAGATAATTGGTGGGTTCTCCATTTGTTGGGAAAAAGGCGGTAGATTTTTCATATTCTGAGTTCTGTGTTGTCTCAGAACTTGAATGAGTCTGTGTCTTCTCCTTAGGGTGGAGGGGATCCTTGGCATTTTGTATTGGTTGGTGGTTTTTATGGGTGCCACTGGCAGGCGTGATAATGGAATCACCAGTGGTACATGGAGAATTAGTAGCTAGGGTAATGATTGAATTTTCAATTTGCATGTCATTTGAGTAGGCAAGCATTTGTTTTATAACAAGATCTTCAGTGGATATGTTTTTCATTTCGTGTTCAAGGGGTGATGCCATTTGTTTATCAAATGAGTTTCTAGTGGACGCTTGGTCGGCATGCTTAGGGGTTTTTTCTTTTAGGCCTAGATAGGGTACCTTGTCTTTGGTAATTTGGTTTATAGGGTAATTAGCTACTGAGTTTTGGTTTAATTGGTTAGTAGAGAAGGCAGGGTCATAATTAGTATAGGAGCTAATTATATTATTAGGGGGTTATGTGCATGGCATTCTTTGTAGTAGTATTGAATATTGTCCATATTGTCCGTATGGGTATCCATGTGTTCATATGTAGAGGAAAAGGTATTTTTATTTTGATTTTCATTTTCAGTGGTTTCACTCAAAACCATTTGCTCATTTCCTAAGAGTGAGAAGTTGTTTTGGACCGGAATGGTGGTATTTTCCATAGACCAAGTTATCAGAAGCTTTTCTACTAGTATTTTCATGTTTTTTAATAGTATTGCAAGATTTGAGTATCCATATACTTTACCTGTATTGGCATTGAACTATTTAACAGTGATACCCGGGCTGTTGTGATTCTCCATTAAATTGTTGAAGCTTCTTGAATAGTTGAATTGTTCTTTGGAGATTGCTTCTTACCTTTGTTGAAAGACACTGTTTTCCACTCCCCCTCTGTATCTTCTATTATTGCGGTTGATTGATCCTTGTTTGGAGATGATTTTTCCTTATTTTCCTTCTGTACATAAGTGCACTGGCCTAATGTATGTCCCAGTCTTCCACAATTTTTGCAAAGAAAATTTTCGCCTTCATAGTGAATGTATTGTTTATGGCGACCAATGTAGATAAAAGGTTGGACGGGAAACTCCAATGGTAGTTCTACACAAAGCCTAGCATAACGACCTCCGACCGTGGTTGTTTGGTGGCTACAATTAATTTTTCTTTGGTGGCTACAACTACAAAGTTTGGCTTCCATTTCGGTAGTGACCATTAATAAACCATTGTCCCTGATGAAGGGCCTTCTCCATATTTTCCTTATTAAATTTGATGTAGTAGTCTTCCCCTAGATCAATTAGTGAGAAAGCCTCCGTTGGACGTCACAAATCTTGGATTTTCTTTTTCAAGTAATGATGTAGTATCAATCTTTCCGTTTGTTCATAAAATTTATATTCATTATTAATACAGTGAAAGAAATTATTAGTTAAATGATTGAATTTTTATTAATAGAGATTAGTTTTACTTATCTGTTATATTAATAATAGCGTAAGAAATAAAATAAAATGATTAAAAAGGGAATTCGACTGGGAGTGCAGTTTTTAATTTACAGTCAAATTGAATAAACTAAAAATCTAATCTAAAGTTGTATAGAATAAGGGTGATAATCATTTTTCCTTGCTAGTTGCAGCAGTATGTAGTTTGGAGCACGTTGCCGGAATCTATAAGTGAGACGTTTGGTGGAAAACAAACCATTTTGCCAATTGTTCTGTTTTGCAAAAGAAATCAAATCAAATTCCGTTTTCCGAAATCAAATTATTTTCATTTTTTCAAGTTTTTGATATAAACAATCTAATTCATATACGTATTCATTTACCAATAACGTTTCTGAACATATATTCACTACTAAAAAACAGTGTAATTCCGTCCGCTATTTCCGACCGAAATCGGTCGAAAATTGATAATTTTCGACTGATTTTAATTGGTCGGAAAAATGATGATCGCAAACGTGTACCGACTGAATTTGACTGACTGTCAAACTTTAATTTCAGACCGAAATCGGTCGGAAACTACTAAATATATTTTTTTTAATTTTCAAATTTCCGACCGATTTCTATTAATTTTTTTTTTTAATTTTTAATTTCTGACCGAATTCGGTCAGAAATTTTGAAAAATAATAATTTTATTTAATTAATTAATTAGTTGTAAATTGTAATAAATTGTTAATTTATGTAAAAAAATAAATATAAATTCATAATTTCTGACCGAATTCGGTCGGAAATTTCAAAAAATTGAAGATTTTATTTGAAATTTCCGACCGGAAATTTTGAATTTCTGAACAAAAAAAAAAAAGAGATTTCCAGTCGGTTATCAAACAACACAAACCAAAACTGAAAATTAATAAACCGAACCATACCAAATTTATTTTGATATGATATTAGTAAACATTTTTAAAACCAAAACCGAAAATACAATCTTTCAAAATCGTACCAAACCGACCAATGACCTCCCCTAGTGCCTTAGGAATGCTACAGTCGCTACACGTGAGCCTACAGACGCTCCAAAAGAGAAGGTAGGACAGGTGCGAACATGATCAAGATAGCGGAATGGAGGAGAATCTACTGAAGCTTCTCGGTCCGTTAATATTTTCACTTACTGGTGCATATGTTCTAGGATGGTACTGCCTCCACTTACATACTTAAGAGTCCATCACTGAAATAAAATTAAACATCACCTTCAGAATACCATTTACTAGGCTGCACAAAGTGATTCCATTTAATACAATAGAACAGGCCGGGGTACACATAAAAAAAGATGGGCTATTGAGGAGTGGGGTATTTTAGGGACAATGTAACATTCATAAAAAGCACCATTTCATGCAGAATGCAGTCATGGACAGAACAAAGATCGCATATTTACTCAGTTATGTGGGATTGCATTTCATCCACAAAAAAGTGCTCTAAATAGATTAAAATTTTAAATGGTGTTAATATGTTTTCACTCCAGAAACTACCATAATCACCATATATCTTACATTTCCTGATTTTTCCACATAGTCATGGACAGAACAAAAGTAAAAATTACCGACAAAAAAACAAGCAAAAAGGTTGCAAAAACTATCACATATGAAGGAAAAACGGATATTTCAGCTAACACACATAGAGAGACATACTGTTTGTACTAGAATACTATATGAAGGACTTAATAGGAATTATGCACCCTATAAAAGTCCCCTTTTATGCTAATGTCAATTTAGAATAACATTTTCCTTTGCATAAAAAGGAAGTTAGAACTTCTCATAGTCATATTTTACCAAATTTCTATATTTGCAATAAAAATTTGAGTTTTCAAACAAATAGAAGTCACTTAAGGAAGGAAAATCAGCAGCTAAATGGTAAATCTATGACACAAAATATTACCTTATGTATATATATAGCATCCTTGTATTGACAATGTCTTCCTATATATGGCGTTACTATGTGTGTGCATGTATGTTCTTGAAACATTAATTGTTCTTTTATTCTTTCAAGCTGAGGAAACAAATCATATCAAAGATTACATTCTCAGTAATTATTGATCAACTGGCATTTTGCTTTTCTTCTAATATTCCAAACTAATTTGATATTTTTACCTGTGCCGGTTTTAGAATAATATTATAATCAATTTATGAAACTAATTAAAAGCTTAAATCTTTGTAAAGCCAATCAACTATGATCTTAAAATAGAATTGAAAGAACATCGGAAGCGGGACTACGGGAGAACTTCAATTAGCTCTTGTATACACTAGCACATCCAAAATTTAGATATACACTCATAACTTCAATTACCTACAAACAAAAACTTTTCGTTGGCTGTGAACCTAAGGGAGGGGAACTGCAACTATACACTCATAACTTGGTGGATAGTAATTTCCAGACATCCAAAACTGTACAAGGGGGTCGACTTTAATCATCATGGATATAGAACCAGTGTCCGTGCAGGTGACAGACACTCAAACAACAACGATAACAATTTTCTCAATTCCAAGCTAGTAGTAGCCAGCCACACATATCCTTGCTATCCATATAGCTCCATTAAACTCATCTCAATCCAATATTTTAAAATTTAGGTTCTCTATCACTACAAGTTATCTATTTTTTCTATTGGAATAGAAATCTCTAACAACTGGATAATCATTAAGTTTCTTTGGACAGAAAATTACAGAAGAAATGAGGAAAATCGTTGATTCTTATAAAGAATTTACCTGACAAAAGTTTACATCTGAAGCCCAAATAACCCCTTTTGGTTTCTAATGATAGCAGAACAGTAGTGGACGACCAAATAAAGGTCTAGAATGAGGAATGGAGCTCAGCTACTCAACAATCGGCAACAGCAACAACAAATAGCCCCTTAAGAACTCGATTTGACATCGAAAACCAACTGGATTCGTCCAACAAATCGGCAGATAACGAGATATTTCTCAAAACCCCTGGTTTTTCAAATCTTTTTCTTTGTTTGTGAAGCTAATTTGAGGAGGAAGGTGGAATCAGGTGGCCGCTTGAGAGAAAAGAAGAAGAAGAAGAGGAAAGAGGCGGCTGGTTTTTTCTGGTTGTAAAAGGGAGGGGGTCGCCATTCTTCTTCAGCCAGAGAGAATTTAGGGTATCTTAGGGTTTTTTCTAGAAGGGGTGGGTTCCCTCTTCTTAGATTGGGGGAATTATGGACGTTTAAGGGAATGGGAAAGGTAAAACGACGTAGTTTTGCAACCATACTATGTCGTTTGTTGTTCAGGCCTTAAAGGCATTTAAATCCTAAATTAAAACCTAACTTAAATCTAATTAGCAAAATTAAAATGTGACCATTTTTTATGGGTTTTTTTCTATAATTTTAAAAATAGAGTTCGCAGTTGCTTTCTACTATCATATTTGACAGAATACTTTACAAGACGAAAGTGGACTTATAAGTTTAGAAAGGCTAAAAGAAATATAAAAGATTAAGTAAAAATCAAAGTAATAAAAGTAGCGTTGCCCTGTGATAATAATGATAATATATAAAGGAGTCAAGACATATATTCACAAGTAAGTTACTATTCGTATTCCCAAATTATCTCTATTGGTCTCATAGTTTCCTTATTTATGAAAGATATACTTTTTTTTATATACTAAATATTTTTTTTAAAATTCATCAAATACAGATATAGCTATTTAATACAGTATCAGGAAATTTTGGGCCCCCCCAAATGTGGAGCCTCAAGCAGTTGCTTGAGTGGCTTAACCATTGAACCGCCCCTATATATATACTAAGTGTATAATATATAAGCTATATTCGATATATATATAAGATGTATATATAGTATAGTATAATATATATATATATATACTAAGTATATAGTATAATATATATATACTATATAACATTAGCTATATTAAGATGTCTCTCTATATATATATATATATATATATATATATCAAATAAGTATTAAATATTATTTATTTAAAAGCTATTTATTATTCACACACACAAAAATATTAATAAATTTATATTTTAATTATTTTAAAATTATTTTTCCGACCGAAATCGGTCGAAAATATTTAATTATAACTTATTTCGGTTGGTTAATTAAATATATATAATTTTTGTCTTGGGCGGGAATTAATTTTTCAAACTGTCTAACTGATTTCGGTTGGAAATTTGGAAACATTTTAATACATAATTATTTTTGTACATTATATACACATATGACCAATTTTCGACCGAAATCGGTAGGAAATTTGGAAAAAATTTAATAAATAATTATTTTTGTACATTATATACAAGTATGACTAAATATTTGACCAATTTTCGACTGAATTCGGTCAAAAAATTTAAAAAAATATAATAAATAATAATTTTTGTACATTATATATAAGTATGATCAAATATTTGACCAAATTTTTTTTTTTTTGTTGTCAGAGAATTTTTGTTGACTTTTGCGACCAAATACTCTTATTTTCGACCGATTTCGATCGAATTTTTTTCAGACCGATTTCGGTCGGAAAGCCTTGGACGGAAATCACCCGATTTCTAGTAGTGATTTTTCTTCAATCGATATATATCCTTCTAAAACTAAAAAGTACCAAATCCAAATATAATTCTACTATTTCATAAATAAAAAGAGTATATAATTTCTAGAGCATCTTATTGGAGAACCAAATTTGAATGTGAATTTATATCATCTACGTGAACAAAAATTCGTAATAATATAGATCATTCACGATATGATCACCTCTTTAGTTGCCACTCCCAACTTGCTCATTCGCAATTACTATCACAAGAAAGTTGCCCCTATCTCTAGGGGCTTATGCTAGGACTTTTTAGCTAGTTTAATTAACATTCATATATAGTTTTGGAACAATATTAATCATGTGTAATGGATTGGTGATCGACTCCTTTTTCTCCCTAGAAAATTAGAATGATGTACTTTCAAAAAGCGTACTTGTATTAGGAGTAGGTGACAAACCGTCATAATAATAAACATGTCGTTTCTAAATCAAATAGACTTGGGAATTGAAGTGATTAAATTCATCTACTATAAATATACGCCGGTGCCTTTGCCTTTAATTTCTCTCGGAACGGAGTTAATTACTAGCGCAAACAATAAAAGTGTTTTTTGGTAGAACAACGTACAGCATGAGTAGTGTAGATTCGGAGATATTGGACGTGTCTTTTCCAGCAAGTCCATGTGTAGAGTGGATTAATTCATACTATAATTATGACTGTCAGTGTAAGGAAGACCTTGTGCTTTGCAGAGAAGACATGGAAAGGTTTCGGAAAAATACAAGAACCAGCAGCGGTGGCTTACGGATTGGATTTGTGCAGTGTTTTCAATTTTTGAAGCTGCTACTACGTACGGGATTAATTAATTAATTAGCTAGAAGCTTAAAAACAGCATGTCTCCTCTCTATTTCTTTCTTTCTTTTCTTTTTCTTTCTATCCTCCTTTAAGGTTATAATTATGTAACTGTGAGTTCAGAATTCAATATATTTTAAAATATTAGTGATTTTTCACATGTCGTTTGAAAATATTTGGATCTCATAAACCCTAGAATATCGACTCTTATGTTACATCCTTGGAACAGTGTGTGATCTATGTTTATGCACACCAAGCAAAACCCTAACAGTACTAACTCGGCATATATTCCTAGTTCTCGGGTTCTTTATAGTTCCAAACTTTTTCCTTTCTACCATAAATGCAAATTTCTTGTACTTACCTTACGTCAAAAGATTTTAAGGTTTCAATAAAATAGTTGTAATGGAAAAAGTTGGATTTGACAATCTTCATTTGATGTCTATTTATTAATGTTGGAATAATGACTATTGCGTGTACTCACCGTAATGGAAAAAGAAGACGATAGTTATGACAGAGAACAGAAAAGATATAACGGAGAAAGGCAAATTAAGTAACGGGAACTTATATGTATAGCTAGGCAACTGACAAATGCGGCTAATTAATGTGTAGTAATTATTACATGTAATTAATTACTTCTTGTAACTTTTTATTTTTTAGCGTGTCTAGAAAGAATAACATCTTTCTATACTTAAAAATAGTTCTAGTCATACAAAAGTCTAAGGTTTTTTTAAAATATAAATTTTAAAATTTCGTGTCAAGTCAAAAGATGTCACATAAATTAAGGAGGGAAGAAGCAGTAAATTACTTTTGTAAGTGAGATAAGTTTGAATTGATGAAAAGTTAAAAAGGAATTATTGGGAAAGTTATATGCCAGATGATATACATTTAGCTAGCCTGGTGGCGTTGGAGCCATTTACCGAGGGATCAATGAAACCCTGCTTACTAATTTGTTCTGCAATCCCTGGATGGTGTGTACTGGGTTGGAAGTGCCGAAATTTTGTACGACAATGTAAATGATATTTGTGATAATATAAATGCTATTTATATGGTGCAGTTTCAGTTTCGGGAGTGGTTGTCACCATCCAAAACTGGAGGGCTGTGACACCCAACAATCATCACGCAAAGCCTTAACCCCAACTCGACAAGAAAAAGAAGCTAAAACACATAATGGAGTTTTAGGTGACTCTCTGCCATCAATACATTCAAATGGCAGTCTCGTACCATCATACAGCAGTTATACATAAAAACATTAACAACAATATAATTAACCCCAAGTGTCAACATATACATACAAAGTCTCCTGGAGACTATACATTGTACAACTGCCCATAAGCTACATGGAGCCAGCTCTAAAGTTGTACAACCGTTTTAGACTTTACAACGATATAAATACACAAAATATAAAAGCTAGCCACCACGAGATGACCTGTGGAGCTCACTACCTTGGTGGGAAAGTAGTTAGCTCAGTCCGGGCATTCTATGTCGTCCTCAGAGTTAACCTGTAAAATCGTAGAGGAAAGGAAGGAGTTCACCAATTTGGTACGAAATAATTGGTCCCTATGATCATTTGGGACTAGCTAATACATTATAAGGACGTATGTATCGCCTCAAACATAATCGTAAAACATTTATATGTCCATATACATATCTTAAATCAAACTATATATGAATCCTTTGTATCCATCATATCTTAAGGCTCGTTGGTTCCAATACTAAATTATCAATATTTAAAGGTAAACATAAAAAAGGAGCTACTATAGAAGTTTTCTAAAGCTCATGACACTCTAACCAATATTTTTAGCAACCATATCATTACTATAAATTGTTTCGTACATGCATCTTACCCGAGTTTTGCTGATGGAAAAATGAGCTATAAAGCTAGAAAAAGTCAAGTCAGGCACTATACATATAAAAATCACCAAGAAAAAAAGAAGTCGTGTATAGCGATTAGGCTTAGAATAAAATCAATCCCTTCAAGGAAAGGTCTTTTCGAATTTAAATTGTTCATTAATTAAAGGGTCATTGAGCTAGGCCACTAGATATGGTAGCTGTTAGGTTTAAACTTGTTAAAGCTTAAAATACAGTGAATGAGAAATGGAGGGAAAAATAAAATATTTAAATTTTTCTCTTTGACAATGGGACATTGTTCCATATTGGAGGAGGAAAAGAGTTTTAATATATATATATATATATATATATATATATATATATATATATATATATATATATATATATAAAATTGCTCTTCTTCTAACTTTTAAAGAGTAGAGAAGAAGGCAAGCCTCGCACCGTCGTCGCTCGGCTTCTGCTTCTGCTTCGGCTTCGGCTTATTTTCCCGCTTTATTTTGCGTAAATAGCCATTTTTCGTGAACGATCATCTTGAATAGTTGCACCTCTTCGTTTAAACCTAATCTGTTGGCTATAAATAGCATGTCATTCCCTCATATTTTTCTTATGAAAATTCTGAAATCTCCTTCTTTCTTCTGCATTGTTTTAACTACAACAAAGCAACAGTAAGTGTGATTTGTTGCTGCCATTTGTGTTCGTGAAACACTTTGGTTTGAAGTACCGCTACACCAGTATGTAATCCATTCTATCCTGGGAGGAAATAATTCACAATCTCGGGTATTAGGAGGGGATTAAGTTCCTTAAGGAAACACTGTGAATTTAGTGGGTTCGATTCATTTATGTTTCTTCTACATTTCTGGTTTATATTATTTTTCCTTCTCCAGAATTATTTTGCAAATACAGATTACTAACAAGTTTAAGGAACTTAAATTTATATTCTATATTTGTGTTGTATATACTGTTCT